TGTTCCGTTCAAAAAATACAACTTTGATATTTTTTTTTTATTTGGGACACTCTGTACCATTTAAAAAAAAACCAACGCTTTATTGTACAAAAAGCCAAAACAGCTTCATCGACAAAGCAAAACAAAAAAAGCACAAAAACAAATATACAAATAATACAAAAAATGTCATACAATACAAATCAATTCAAAAAAAAATGTACGTCATAAAATTACAAATAAAACATACAAATCAATTCAAAAAAATTACGCCTTCAAAATTACAAATAAAACATATATGGACACATTGCAGAACACAGGCGTATCTAGAAAATTTTACAAAAGGAAAACTGTAAATGGATAAAATAATGTTATATATTATAAAAAATCAAGAGTTATAAAATATTAAATACTAGACCTTTAACCAGTGTGTGAGATGATCAAAATTTTAAAATTCAAAAATTGTTCATGATTAAACATCAACAAAAAGTCGTTTACCGCATATAGCTCTCTCCAGTAAATATAATTTCAGAGCTTTGCGAAATGCGGGAAAGAATGAAAGTGACTTGATATTCGAAGGCAAATGATTGTACATTTTCTTGGCATTGTAAAGTATTGAGCCCTTAACTAGTTCTGAGAGCTCGGGGTTGCAGATAAATATCGTGCTCCGCATTCCTGCGTGGATAGTTGTGAGAAGGCCTTTCCTGAATAGAGAATATGTGCTTGCGGATAAGCAAACGGATTCAAAAAATGAATAAAAAAAAAAAAAAAAAAATTTTGAATTTTTTAAAGAAATTCTGGCAGTGAGTTCTACTGTTTAGTCTCAATAAGTATCGAACTGCTCTCTTTTGAAGTTTGAAAATACGATCAAATTTTGTCGCGCAGCAAGTACCCCAGAATGGAAGGGCATAACGAAGATCTGACTCAAAAAGGGCATAATAGACCATTCTAGAGGTTGATGAGTTAAGTTCCTTAGAAACTGATCTTAGCGCAAACCTAGAAATCTATAAACCTAAATTATCTACTAGGATGTATTTCAGGAAAATATTTTAACTTCTATAGGGTGGCTCAAAAAAGTGTCAGTGGATCGGGATGATTTTTTTTAATGGAACACCCTGTACATTATTGCATTTTTGGCTTCCTTTCAGATCACTTTGTGATCTTTGTGGTAGGATGATTCACACTTAAAGGATGATTCACGCTATACCGTGACGGGTCCGAGCCGTGCATCGGTGAAGACACGGCCAAACATTGTCAAGTGCTATTTACAATTTATATTGCCAGGCCGAGCACGATCCGAGCTTCGCCGGAACTCGTCCGTGCCCCGTCACAGAAATGTCGGTGTACATTTTTTTCTCGGATCCGTTTCGTTCCCGCCACGTTGCGGAAAGCATGTATGTACTTTTCCTGGTGCCCCGACTGCAATCTGCAGTCATGATATAAACAAAGTACACTTTTTATCATGTCTGTAGTAGGTAATGAATCTTACAGCAGTATTTGATGATAGGGAATCCATAAAACTGGACAATGAAAGGATATAATGAAGAAGTTAGATCCTTCATCTTGTCCTTTGAGCAGGTGTTGTTCTTTCTTCATCAACTGTAATTGGCACCAATTCCACTTGCGAGAACTATGGCATTGTTCGTATTAAATCTTCGTGTGTCTATGGGGCTGTGTTTTATAATATACTCGGAATACGAACCCCGTTATCAACTCGGTGTTGCATATACAGAAGGATCGGACGTGGCTCGGTGCCTACTTCACGGAACGTGCCCGGCTGGGGCACGGTCGGGTGTACTGTGAATCATCCTTAAAGGATGATTCACGCTATACCGTGACGGGTCCGAGCCGTGCGTCGGTGAAGACACGGCCAAACATTGTCAAGTGCTATTTACACATATACATTCATGCCAGGCCGAGCACGATCCGAGGCGTCTGCCGGAACTTCCGTCCGTGCCTCCCGTCACAGAAATGTCGGTGTACATTTTTTCTCGGATCCGCTTCGTTCCCGCCATGTTGTGGAAAGCATGTATGTAGTTTTCCTGGTGCCCCGACTTCAATCTGCAGTCATGATATAAACAAAGTACACTTTTTATCATGTCTGTAGTAGGTAGTGAATCTTACAGCAGTATTTGATGACAGGGAATGCATAAAACTGGACAATGAAAGGATGTAATGAAGAAGATAGGTCCTTCATCTTGCCTTTTGAGTAGGTGTTGTTCTTTCTTCATCAACTGTAATTGGTACCAATTCCACTTGCGAGAAATTTGGCATTGTTCGTATTAAATCTTTGTGTGTCATGGGGCTGTGTTTTATAATATACTCAGAACTAATACGAGCCCCGTTATCAACTCGGTGTTGCATAAACAGAAGGCTCGGACGTGGTTCGGTGTCTACTTCAAAGAACGTGCCCGTCTCAGACACGGTCCGGTGTACTGTGAATCATCCTTAATTTTAATTTTACACGAAATTGAGTACAGAAGTCCTATAAAATTATGCTAGGAATTAATATAGTCTAATATATCCCATAAAAAAATGTTAAATAAAATATGACTTTGTCAACTCAAAGAATATTTAGAGAAGAAAATATGTTGTTGTAACTCAAAGAACTTTAGTTATTGTCTAATACAATAAATAATATTCTGGTATAGGCTTTTGATAAAAAAAACGAGATTAGCAGCATATATTTCATGTAAATATGACACTTTTTTCTTCAGGGAACTAGACGCGTGTTTCCAGTATCCTTAGTATGTACCATAGATGTATGTCTGGTGATTGTGAATATAAGTGATTTAAAAATTCCGCCATAATGAATTTAGAATATGAGCCCTACGCCGCCATTTTGAATATTAATACAAATTTGTCATAAAGTCTGTCCTGAAGGGAGAGAATATTTCAACAACAGACAATATCCAAAAACAGAAAAATACAATTTGCCTGTAAATTAAATGTTAGACACAACTGTCAATGTGTCAATGAGCGAAAAACGGCGTCCAGCTGGTGGAAATGACGACCGATGATTATTCGCCATATAATTTTATATATCAAATTACAGCGATATTAATTTTATAGCCCTCGTAGACGCCGTTTTTTTTCAGTTATAAAATCATATTCTATTTGATTAAAATTTGTTATATGTTTGAAAATGAAAAACTTATAGGTTAACAACTCAAAGTATGTTCATTTTTGAATGGTATTTGATTGTTACCTGTTCAGTTTTAATTTAAAAATAGATACAGTTCTTCTAAAATTACTCAAAATTGGCTTGACCAAAGTTCTTCAAATTTGACACGTGGCTCCAGTATTTTATAACACTATACATAGTCTCTAGAAAGAATTCTAGGTTTTTCACCACTAGAAGAAACTCTACAAAATAAAGCTATCTTTTCTAAACACCACTGCGTTGATCCAACACAGACCAATATCGGGTGCGTCTCAAATGTGACACTCCTGTAGCTTTTTTATTTTTTCAGATAAAAAAACGAGATTTGATATGTTAGTATATGATATAAATTAGGATTTACTGACGTATTCAATTGTTTTTTGGTCAGTTCCTGTTTTACCGGAAATGACTACAACTTTTCATTTTTAAATGGCACCTCGGTATATTTTTACATTATTCGATAGAAAATGACACTCTGCCCTGAATAGAATGACATATCACATGTCAATTTTTGACATTTTTGCTTAAAAAATCGTATTCTAAATTTTAATCTAGAGTGCCATGGCTGTGTTAAAAACACTAATTTTTAATCAAGAATCCTTGGAAAAATAGATTTGATCTTCTAATGTTTTTCATGTCTTATTCTGACCAGTTAAAAGATGCCCAAATAGTATTTTTAATCATATTTCGATATTTTCAAATGAAACAAGGGTGGCTCATAAGCATATTTGGAAAAAGCATTTTTTTATGAATAATTAGGTACCACAAACTTCGTATTTCGAGTAAAATTGTTATGAACCGGCTGAACCGCATACCGCATGTTACAATTTTAAATAAACCATATGTAAAGATATCAAAAGTTGACATACGATATGTCATTATATTCAGAATGTCATTTTCTATTGAATAAAGTAAAACAATACAGAGGATGTCATTTCAAAATCAAAAGTTGTAGTAATTTCCGGTGAAACAGGAAGTGGCCAAAAACAATTGAATACGTCAATCAATCCTAATTTATGCCATATACTAACACAACAAATTTCGTTTTTTTATCTGAAAAAATAAAAAAGTTATAGGGGTGAGATACTTTTCAGGCGCACCCGGTATATCAGCGCTATTTTACTAATAAAACAAATTTACCTAACCCTTTCAGAAGGTATATCCTTAGATTAAGAATGGTATATCCATTGACGGTATATCTTTCTTTCTCCTCTTTATACGTGGTGTCATTAAAATTCTTTGCTTAGGCTCAAGGCTCACTTCAAATTTATACAATAACAATGAAACAGCGGTCGCTATAAGAGTTTCTTTGACACCCGGTATAAAAGATGTCATTTAATAAGTGAATAGCACAAAGAATATAATTATTGATAACTTCGCTGTCACTTAATATTAACATAAAGGTGGCGTAAAGTGATCTAGAAATAAAAATAACGCTATTTTATAAAACATTTACTCATAATAATGAAGTTTGTCAAGACACAAAATTAACTTAATTTCTATTAAAATTGACCTTTATTTAAAAGAAAAAAATTATCTGGTGTATAATAAAAATTTCATTAGAGACCCAACATTGTGTTTTAAAGTTTCAAATTTCTTTAAACTACGGTTCATACATAATGACAAAAAAATATTCCTACAGTTAGAACTTCCTTAGAATTTAAATTACAAAACAATAATACTAATTTATAAAAGGAAGAGTAGATAACTATAGACAGCTATATTTTAAACTTAATATGCAATGAGAAGAATAACAGAAATGCTTTTACACTCAAAAGAGATTATTCTAAGATTAAGTAACAACAGGTTTCATACGGTAAAATCAATGTAACATAAATATTTTTTGTATATTTCTAATTATTTCAACCCAATGGAATAAAATTTTATTGCAAACATTAATACCTTCTATGTTGTGTCTTCCTTTAAGTTTTAAAGAGTATGAATCCCGTATAAAATAATATGATTGACCATATCTAAAATATCTGACAATTTTATCAATGAGGGAAAATATATCAAAGATCTTTTATAAAAACAAAGTATAAATTTAACTGAAAACTGCACTATATGTTCTAATCACTGTCGGCATTCAGGATATTAAGTCTCACTGTTAAATTATTATTATTGTGTCGAACTACATCAACTGTAATTGGAGCATATAAATCCTTATCTAATGGAGACCATCCGGTGTACTAAAAATAATTTAAGGTAAGAATTACGATAATTAAGTAGACAAAACTACTTACAACTGAAGTGTTTTTATGCCGAACTTTATCATCTTCATCAAAAGCTTCGTATTTTTGAAGTAGAGCTTTTCCATCAATTCTCCATATGCAAGGATGTTTCTTGGGATCACCACCCTGGGCATCTTTCTTTAAGATTACAAATGAACCAGTCTAAAAAAAATACCAAAAAAGGCGGCTCTATTATGTATGTAAGGCAATCGTAAAATTTCAATAGCCTTTAACGCCATGGTTTTTTTTCGATCATATGGTATATTATTGGTAGATTAGATAAAAATTAGATTTTATACCGTACGACGGAAAAAAAGAACGGCGTCAGCGCGATGGCCATGGAATGAAGATCGCTGTCATTTTATACAGGTGTCCTAATATTCCGTGGACATAGAACTAGTATGTATTTTTGGAATTAAAAATAAGTTCATTAAATCACAATTTACCTCTATACAAAAGTGATTCGTTTGTCCGCTAGAGTTCATCAAACTTTAAAAACAACACATTTTTTTCAGATATATTTTAAAAAACCGTTAGTTATTTTGATTTGCAGAATGAGATTTTGAGTGTCCATGTTTTGCTAAGTGCTCTATTTGGCTTTCACAAAAAATCAAGAAAATGTAAACGCCACCCTGCATACTTTTGTGAAAAAAATATTCTTCCAAAGCTGACTTCCCAAAAATGTTTTTTGTCACATCAAGCAATACGTAACTGAACGAAGCAATACTGAG